CAGAGATAGAAAATAGSCTGTATGTGCCAATTTAGTCTAGGAATCCAACTGATTCCTTGCTCTGTACCTACCCCCTAATGAAAGTTTCCTTTCTTTTCATTATATCTAATTTCCTTTCTTTTAGTTGCTTATTTCCTTGCCCTCATTTTCAAACGACCTTGTTATTGTGATTCTGTAACATTCTCTCTGCTACCCATTTCAACCCGGGGCTTTTTAGTTGTCATATAGTTACATTATGCAAGAATCATTATTCGGTCCTGTCTTAAAGACAGAACCCCTAGCTGCTACATAATGCATGTACAGATTCAATGCATTTCTAATGCTGAGAATTTCTCTTCTTTCCCATTGTTCATATAACCAGAAATATTCTGTGGAAAAACTAAAAATAAATCTTCACCCAATAGAATATGGTTTGTAATGTCTCTTGATATGGGCATTATCTCAGATTTAGCTCAGCTCATTTTGTGCGGGAGATGGAGTGAGATTCAGTTCTAATTTAATATCTCTGAGATTGATCTGAGCTGTTTGCAGTTTCAGTCACACGCAATAAGGTGAAGGTACARTGTCTGTCTGGTGAACATTTACGCTGTGCTTATCGCAGGAACATATCTCAGCTGCTTTGGAAAAAAAAAAAAAAACCTTCTGAAAAGGCAGCAAAAATTAATAATGACCTTCCAATATCATTAACCTAAGCTGATTCCTTTGTGCTTGACCCAGTCATTTTCATTCTTTTAATGTTGCACCTGCCCATTCTGTAATCCTGAAAACAGCTGGAGTAAGCTCTTTTCCRAGGTTGAAATGGGAAGCTGTGTCAGATGCCCTCCTGAAGGAGGCTGGAGCTTGGAGGGTTTGTAAGGCACATGTGGTTGCACTGTAGGTTTTGGGATTGGAAGGGAAAGCAGCACAGGAAGCATTGCTAATAGAAGCAGGAGGGAGAGATGGATGGAACTTACAACTGCAGCACTAAATCTCTCCCTTGTGAGCTCTTATCAAAGATAATTCAAAATTAGTAACTTCTGAAATATCTAGGCCACACAATTCAGCCTAATGCTGTGGTCCCTGAATTAGCTCCAGAAGAGGTATAATTACATTGCCCTGTCGTTGGCCCAAGCTCCTTATTCTTCTTCAGAGGCAGATTTAATTACTCTGGGCACAGCACCAGCCTAATGCAGCCACAGCTCTGCTGGGACWGAGCCAGGACACGTGCTGGACTGGACACTCTGACCAAGTCTGCTCAGTGGTGGCTCCAGATTGTCCTCCCAAGCCCCTGTGGCACATTTCAGGTGTGTCTTACACCCAGTCTGTCGAAGTAGACCCCAAAMAGCTGAGCTGTGTGGCTGGGTTACGGAAGCCATAACCAGGGAGTTTGTGGTTTCTCCTTCATATCCTTGCTACCAAGAAAGAAACAACATCAGGGGTCAGATTGAACCTGTTGGCCCCATACAGTCACCGAGCCATAGAATTGTGTGGGTTGGAAGGGACCTCTGGCTGTGGTCTTGTCCATTCCCTCTGCAATGAGCAGGGACATCCTCAACTAAACCAGATTGCTCAGACCCTCATCCAGCCTRAGACTGAGAGAGTTTCCGAGGGAAAAAAACCAGCCCTAAGAGAATAGAAAAAAATTGCCCACAGTACTAAGAGAAGTATCCTAAGCTAGCTTTTACTTAAACACTGTTTTTTTTTTGTGTTGTAAACCAGCATGACATAAACACTGTAGGTGAGGCAAAAAGAATGCCAGTTTCATTTTTAGGATGTCTCCCAGAATAATCTTCYGTACTAAGAGACCTGTTGTGTTGGGGTTTTTTTTAATGAGGTATTTTGAAATTCAAGCTTGTTGCCTCTGCTTCTTTTCATTGTAACTTAATCAGTACATGAAAAATTGTTTAGATTCCCAGATTTATGATACAGAACTTTTATTTTAAATTATGAAGTCCATCARCCCTATCAGCACAGTTTGTGATTATAATCTGCTGTGACATTAGCGGTRCCTCTTTAGGTGAGATACTGTGGACCACTTTCTGTATTATCAGATCCTGTAGGGCTTATAAAGACTAATCCAGTGAACACAGCAGACAATTTTGGTGACTTCAAGCAGCCACTGGACCAGGCTGATAAATGAGAGAGTAGCCTGAGTGATCATGACCTTTTGTTTTGCCATCAGTCATATAAGGAGTTGGATCCTAGCAATCGTAGGTTGGAAGCAGCCTGAGTTGTTCATCCTACTTTGGTTGCTCTACACAGTGTGAGACAAAATAAACATTAATTAAACTTCTCAGTATACCATGGTTGTGCCAMCTCCACTTTTGGAGAGTTGCCTATCCAGCCAGATCAGCCTGGATACCCTGCCACATACCCCAGCAATATCACCAGGTATGCTGGTGCCTGCTTTTCAGCAGCATGATTTGGATCCATTACCCCTTTATTTCACCAGGACCCTCAAAGAAATCAAGAACATCAAGGGTGAAAAAAGCATTCTAGCATGAAAGCCTAAGAATCTAATCTATCCTGAACAAGTTCTAAATTCTAGATTTAATATCTCATCCYTTCCTCAGATTCCATGCAGGAACATTGTTTAAAGTATAGGAAAGATCTGAAGATTGCCTCACGATATCTTTCAGGATGAGGTCTATTTCCTCATTTCTGGTTATACAATATTTGGAACAACAAGGCTCTGACTCCAAGACTTTGGAGCAGCTGGGAGTGCAGAAGACTGATAGTTTTGCAGAGAGGGAATGTCTGAAGCCAGGGGGTAGTTAGCTGCTGRAGCCAGCCCACAGTTCTTCATTCTCCATCAAATTTGGTAAATCATGCTGAACTCAGTAGAAAGTCCTCTTGGGGAATCTTGACTCATTTGAGTGACTCTGGCACTCTCCATCAAACCATGACACGTTTATGGGCTAAACGAACCTCACTGCAGCAGCCATGCTGTGCTTTCCATTCCATAAAATACACTGCGGGATTTACTRTTCTCTCTTCTCCTTTCCAATTTTTGTAATCTGGAAGAACAATAAGCACACATATTGCTTTTATGAGGGAAAGTTCTGAGAACCTGGCGACTTGCCTCGTYTCCTCATTTCTTTGTGTTGGGCAACTGGCAGGATATTTTGCTGCAGCACAAGAGTGAGAAGAGTTCTGTCCCTCTGAAATCAGCTGCTGAAGAGTGCAGGACAGAGCCAGCATGTTGAGGTCTTCGGGAGAGACAGGGGATAATAAATCACCTCATTACTTCTTGTTTCTCATTACAGCCAGTATCAGGAGGAATGTGTCTAATCTCACTGTGTGGCACTGCTTCAGCATGGGTGAGTAAAGGGTAAATAAGGTTTAGAGCCCATTCTGTCAGCTTTACTCTTAATGTCTCCTACCTAGAACAGATTCTGACATTCTTGTGGCACTGGGGTGAGAGTGGGGATTCTGSATRAATTTGAAAGGTGCMAAGAATAGAAATCCTGCCTCACRATTTGGGGGTTGGTCCATGTATGTRTGACRAAAGYCACCCTGGGGCTGCCTAACTAGGCACAAAATTATTTTGCATATCTGCTAGAGCTCTGCATCTCATGCTCTTGCCTCCAATACCAGCTTATCTCTCCTCCCTCCTGACGCACAACGTGCTAAGATTCGATTTCAGTAAAGTGGAAGGTTTTTTTATTATTTAAGTGTGCCTCTCCTTCCTCAGCTCTCCCAGACAAACTCTTCTACCTCTCAACCACTTACTAGTACTTGTTTCTCTCAGTGTGGCTCCTGTAGTCAGTGTAAACAGACAAGAGCAGATGAAGGGACCTTTCCTTAGTGTTTGATGTATCACTGCTTTCCACACAGACCTTGAAGAGTTCAAGTGTCCTTGGGCAGAGCGGTCAGAACACTTCTGGGGAAGGACCCCTGTTTACCTGTTTGCTTTCAGTACGTGGCTGAATTAGGAATTCCTTTCTCACACAGGTTAGCTACCCCTTGAGTAGTCACACTGGAACTGTTTGCATCAACATTTTCATTCCTAAGAAAGAAGTTCTCTGTCCAAAGGAGACCCTGTGCAATGCTACTTTCAAGTCTGACAGCGTCAGCTTCTGCATCCTCACTCCAAAGCAGGTAGAAGTGGAAATGGTTTGAGAAAGGGATGTGACATCTGTGTCAATTCACAGTTAAAACTGCAGGAGAATTTTCCTATTCCTCAAGCTAGGAGATAGGCCACTTCTGTGCTGGATGAAGATTCATCAGATGGAAAATGCTAGTGGGAACTGTCACTGTTTCCCTCCATATATACCCACAGTGGCCTGCTAAAGGCTTGTCTTCACTGATGTCCAGCATAAAGACACGAACAAGCTTAAGACAAAGTAATCCAAGTGCCAGTAACATTTCAGCTGTGACACCACGGAGCCAAATTTCTGCTTCACCTCCTCTTTTAAATAATTCTGATAGCTAAAAAAGGAAAGGAACCATTTCCGACCTCACTCACTCAAGAAGCAGATGTTGCCATTGATGAGCTTGACAAAATTGCAGCAACCACAGCCTCTGAGTCATCTGGTTCATCCTTTCAGCTCAGAATTAGYTATAAGAATGCATTCATTAGCTCTTTTGCAGTACAGCAAACACAGACTCCTGTAAAAGGGGAGCAGGTGGAATTTTAAAAAGTGTCAGTCCATTAGTACAAAATGTAGRAGTCTACAAGGCAAGGTCATGCTTTTCTGTAATGCTTGAGAGGTGCCTTACATAATGTAAGTGCTACTGGAACGATCTTGATTGTGTGAGGATCTCTCAATATTTATAGARGTGTTAATAAATACTGTAAGCTGTATCATAAGTTAATGTTTAGAATGCAGACTTTGACCTTCCCAGGTAGATGTGGCTTTTTCCACTTTTTCCTACAGGGAATATTATGTCAGCCTGTGGTCTGTGTTGCATAACTGATTAGATTGTGTGGGTCTGTTTGACCAGGGAACAAGGTCAAACATCCTTGATCATCCAAATGGCTCATMTGACAATTTGTCTCAGCCAACTCTCTCCAAGACCAGGCTGCTCTATAGGGTCTTGTGCAAGGCACTGTGGACATGCTCCACCCTTGGGCTTGAGGTTCAGCAGCAGAGTACCTGACCCTATTCCATTTTAGCAGCACGGATATGGACTATAACCAGACCACTTCCTATGGCACCTGAGCCAGACTGAGGTGATGGCTGTTTAGACCTCCTTCATGGTAAGAGCAATGAATGACCTAGAGGGGTAGCAGACAAGGCTGACAGACCTTTTGCGAGTGGCGGAGGTAAGAACTCAGTGGATGAGAGGAAGGATGTCACAATCCAGTCAGTATATGTCACAGRCACTCCCAGTCTATGGCTTACTCCATTGACTACAGAGGTAGCCAGCGTCCAACAGCTGGTTACAAGTCAGACTCGGTCACTCTTACCCTGAATGGCTTTTAGCACAGTTKTCCTGCATGTCTGTCATTAGAACATGGCCAGCACCAGGCCCTGAGCCCGACAGGGGTGGCTGTGCAGCCTCCAGCCTGCAGTCAGGATGGATGATGTGCAGAGTTGTCATTTACCAGACGTGGTAGAACACCCACTGTTGTAGAACAGGCTGGGCACAAGGCATGGGGTCTGCATCCAGCCTTTTGTCTCACACTCAATGTTGAAACCATTCTTCAACCTGAACCCACAGCACTATTGCTGGGTTTAAAGCAATGCCCTGATCAAATATCCAAGTCTGTGATGTATCCATTTGATCTGAATATTTCAGAATTACCTCCTCTTGCTTTTGCTAAATTCACAAAACTGTAGGTAAAGTTTGCCACATATTATTACATTGCACAGCAACAAGTTGAGCAATAATTGCTTTAATATARCTTTTGTCCCTGCTTTTCATTCTACCACATTTTCTTAGTCTTCTAAATTATCCRTTTTATAATCAGATCCTCTGCTAGCTTTGGTAACTTCAAGGAAGACAATTTTGTAKGTTCTGTAACTTAAACCACCCATTTTTTCATTTTCTGAGTGCTGACTAAAGAGCTCCCTTCACATTTACTCAAATTGTTATGAGTTTTTTAAATGTTTGTTTTCTATTTAAAAAAAATGTTTTCTAAAATAAAATGAAATTATTTCCTGCTTCTTCTGATGGATTGGAGCAGTTTTTTGTTGAAACATTGCTCTGTTTAATTCCTCAGTTCTAATGTACGTTATTTGTTTTCATACAAAGATGATGAATCTGGTTTATGGCTGTAATAGTGATGTCAGGGAGGTGTAAACGACTATGACACAGTAGGGAGTAAGGTCTTATAGATCCAAAAGATTTGCCTTTGCCATCAGATTTTAGAGGAGATTTTACCCATGAGATAGTCACTGAACTATTCTGGAAATCAGCATCATGGATTTGTGCGAGGTGTTTGAGCAGTCCTGGCCATGCTTTGGAGGGCTGAGTGTTTCCTTCACTTTTGTACTCTGGCTAAAGTGCCATTTTTTAATTTCTTCATGTAGCAGCACCTTTCCTCACGATCAGCTTGCACCTCATCCTTATGACTCCAGAGCTACACTGAAACTTTACTCTTGAGACCAAGAGAGTGGAGAAGGAATTAACAGGATGCTCCTGAGCACCGTGGAAACTCCTGTTTTACTCAGCAGGAAAGACCTTTTCTCACCAGAAGCAAGGTATTTCCCAGTCTGTGGCTGGTTTATCAAAAGGAACAGAGCCATGTCCTCACCCTGCAGCACCAAACCCTCCATGGTTTTGCTCAGAGAAGATTTTTTGGGCTACACTACTACAGGTAAGTACAAAGGTTAGGATACTCTGAATACTTTACTGAAATCTACAGCATGATGTCACTTAATCACTACATTAATTAGTTCCATACACTGAATAGTTGTAGCTATGAATAGCTGGACTCCACCACGCAACATGTTGCAACAAAGCAGCAAAATTAAATTGTAAAAATATTATGCCATCCTTGACAAAATTTCAACTTGCAATTACAATAGTATTTCTAGTTTATATTCACTATTATATATGTCTACTATAGTCAGAAAATGGAGAATGTTTGCTTAAATTATTCTTTTCTGTGTAATGTACTGTATTTTGGGAAAGAGAAAAAAAAAARRRWTTTTTTTTTTCTAATATTACCCCTTACCAGTGTCTAGCTAATAGGTAAGACTCTACTTTCCTAAAGAGCAGACCTCTGAAGATATTTGGATGGAAACTGTGGTTGCTTTGCTGCCTTGTACAGATTGGACTTCTGCTTCACACAGCACTTCTTACTCTCACAAATTCCTTGTCTCGAGGCATATGTTTCTTCCTCTCTGTACTCATCCCTGAGGGACCAAGAATTACATGTGACTTTTACCCATATCAATATTTCATGGGATTGCATGGTGATGGAAAAATACCTCCATATTTTCAAAGCAGCTTAGGAGGCTCTGTGTACAGAGTCACAGAATGCTGCTCACTGTACACAGATTACAGAATGCTGCTCACTGAAATGAATTTCACTGAGGAAAAATTTCAAACAGTATTTTGACACCTAAATCTATTTATGACATAGTAAAGGGATCAAACTACAAAATATAATCTGGTCATATCCACATATCTCCTCCCCCACACACCTGGTTCCTACTGTAGCTCTAATATTACCCTTTGTCTTCCTTGTTTGAAACTTGGGGTAAACACACCCCGTGTTATATAAACTTTTGTGCTGTATCACTGATGACAGAACCTGAGTTCTGTTATTCAGTTGCCATGGCTGCCAAGAGATGGCTAGATTGCAATGATGAAGAGATTTTATTTACATCCACCCACACATGTTGTTTGGTGTCCTGGCCAAGTACATATTGGCGGAAGATGAATTTACTAAGCTGGGATTTTGTGTATGTACTTGGCAGTGGGGGGATAGAGATTGTGCTCACCTCTGCCTGAGCATTTGGTCCTGAATTCGAATGACCTGAGACCTTCCAGGATACAAAATCCCTCTCTCTCTTTCCATACAAGTGATTTGAGACCCAAAGGCGACGAAACYGAGCAGGTCAGTGACAAGCACCACTTGGTGGGAAGCCAGTCATCAGTCTGGGGCTGCAAACAAGGTGGCAAGGCAGGCAAGAGAGATACCTTTTAAGACAATCTTCAGCCAGGACCAGGTGTCCTGTGGCTCTGGAGCACAAAGTCCTGTCRCAGGGGAGCTCTGCCCCAGGTACAATTGGTGCAAGTCTGGCTGCACAGTCCCTGCAAGACTGGCCACCCCATGTCAAGCTCTGTGAAAAAGGACAATTGCATCTTACAGCGATGCAATCGCAACTCAGATGCAAAATCTGAGTTTCTGAGGAAGGTGGAAGGTGGAAGGTGCRTTGCCAGGAGACGGGAGGTGAAAGGAGCTTTTTTACTGCTGCGATGTCTGGGTTAATGTGGGCGCTGCAGCTCACCAGACAGCCATTGTAAGTTTTAATTAATAGTCAGGGCATCTAGATATTTGCAGATTGGTGGGGTTTTTTWTWWAATTTGAATAAAGGAATATATTAAGCATTGAGACTGGAGCCCAACATGCCATTTCCAAGTGCAATTGAAAGYTGGCAGGATAGCTTCCATTTTTGATTAGTGATAAATCTAATTGCAACAGAATGGCTGACTTTCAGAGACAGGATTGTATTACAAGTCATGTGAGTAGGAGTCAGGCTAAATGAGCCTGATATAATGATTTATTTACAGCAACTCTGATACTTCTAGCAATCCATTATAATTGTATAGAGAGAGACTTCATTATCCCTTCACGTCTCYGTGATCCCTTCAAGGGCTGGGAGCTACAAAGCAAACCCGGAGAGGGGAGCACTCAAAAGGCTCAATCCTGCAAGGCTGAAGCAGACTGCAGCACTTACCACGCCTGACAGGGTGTCTGGATCGTCACACAATTTCCCCCTGTGAGTTATTCAAGTTGAYTGAATGAATGATTGAATTTATTGTGTTTAGTGTCTAATAAGGCAAGCTAGTTAATTTCTGCTGGATAATTAGAATCCATCTCTAATTGAATCAAAGTCAATGCAAGTAAATATTTTTATTAGGTTGATAATGCGTTTCTTGAATGTACTACTGCACATGTTCATAGCTGTCTTAGTTTGGGGTAGGGGATAGTTTTTAGCCATATAAATTCATATAAAATGAATTAAACTTGTAAGAATTTCTTTATTCCTTCAGAAAATATTTATTCTTCAATTTAAAACATAGGTCCCTTCTTTGATGGGTTCCTTCTTTGACTCAAGCCTACACATTTTTTGAAGGAAATAGAGCAGAGGCATTGGGAGGGCAGTGGAATAATAGAATATCACACCCCATTCTGCCTTCAAAACAAGTATTATATTTTCCAAGTCAAAGGTTTCCTTCAGGAAACTCAATTTTCCTCTGAAAAACAATGTAGATGGAACCTTTATAACTAGCTGAAGCTGGGCCCGTTCAGTTTGCAGAAGAACTGCCAGCTAGGGCACCCCTTAGGTACATCTCTCTCATAGTTCAGTAACAGCAGCAAGGAAAGGCATCAGCAGTGCTGGTTTTGTGTTGCTCAAGTGCTGCACTTCTGGAAGGAACATCTGGGCCCCATCCTCTGTTTCATCTCTTTCCCTGCAAAATGGTCCRTTGATGGCACATCCTAAACCTGAAAGAAGGTTTGAAGTCTGTCCAAAGAGTRGGGTTCCTTTGCATTTTTCTAGAGCATTACATAGTCTGATGTGTTTTTCAGAATCTCCACACACAGCTTAGGATCACTGTTGCCCTGTCTAAGGCTGGAGAAGTCAAATGAAGAGTCTTCATTGTTCCTTGCTCGTTTCAAGTAGGAACCTGGTTTTTAAGTTGTTCCTAAAGAGATGAAACTTCTCCAGGGAACCGAGGAGAGGAACAGCCTGTTAGCCCATCTATGTAAGTGCCAGGCCTGAGGTAGACATATTGACTTACACTGAAGACTCTGAAATGGGAGCAAATACACTGGAATATTGCTTCCAGAACTGTAGCTGAYTGGGAGAGCAGAAAGTAAATACACTGGTCTTATTCAGCTAATTTTTCTTTTTAAAAAATACAAAACAAAAAACACCCAAACCATAAAAGCAGCATTAACATTTCAGATGTGGGCYATGCAATGATGCTTTTTATCCCACATTAAAGTCTGACAAAGCATTCTGGCTTTGGACACCTCACTGCATCAGGTGTCTTTAAAAATATGAGTCTAAAACAGTGCCATGGACAGATGGGAACAGATTTATGCTGTCTTTTGTAACAGCCCATTTTAGGGCTGTTCTATCACAAATCTGTCTTTTCTCCTGTCACTCACATCAACACACAGTTCAAAACATTAACCTGGATTTTTGTTGTTGTTGTTGTTTTCTAAGCAAGAATACTTTTTAATGGTTAACATGGAATACATCATGTTTACCTGGAAGGACCTTATCTACAGTAATTCCTGGATGTTGATAGGACAAAAGGAAATTATACAGGTTAMTATCACTGTAATAATATATTCACCAGAAACAGAGACTCAGCTGAAAGTGATGGCCAAAAAGGAGCTAGCAGGTCTCTTTTCTTGAGATCTTTATGCCTGTATAATCCATTTGATTCACAGCCAGCCAAATCTGTTCAGCTGAGATGCTCTTTCTACCTGAGATTATCCCAGGGGATCTCCCATAAGCATGGTCCAGAAAGGAGAAGTCAAAAAATGGCTTATTCTTGGGTAATGTGACCTGGATTACAGGGGGAGGTGAAAATAATTCTGCTGCATGATGAAGACACATGCAGTGCATTGCTGCTGCCACAGTCACACAGCCACATCCCTAAAAGTGCTGAAGAGCTTTTGCAGGGGAAGCCTCTGGCAGTACATGAAAGCTGGCTCAACCACAGGCACAGCAGCCCTGGCTGTAGCAGCAGAAGGTTGTAAATTTGGCTGGCCTTTGCCAAGAGCAAACGATGGAGTCTGGAGGTACCATTTGCAGCTAAAAGCTGGAGCTGCTGAGCTTGGCAGTCCTGGTGCTGTGGCACTGCTCCTGAGGTCAGTGAAGAAGCAGCAGTGCCCCATGGGCAGGAGGAGTGTTATCTGTACCTGTTGGTGTTGGCATAAACGCTGCTGGGAAGGGCACRGCTCRTATCCATGAGCTCCCAGAGTTCCTSCCAGCCCCTGGGTCTGTGTTTGTGTGGTAATTGCACAGCCCTTAAACCTCCTCTCAAAACCCCCTCCAAACCCAGCTTTATCCTCCAGGCTCCGATTCCTTTAGGGTACTGACACACATGGCWTTACCAGCAGGCACTTCCCCAGTGAGCTGTGCCGCTGGAGGCTGAGCTTGGGATGGTGGCAGGTGCTTCCCTCACAGGCTTGCTCTCATAAAGCTCCGTGGTGCTGTAGAGATAGCACTTCTGCCCTTGCCTCGGGACCCAGCACAGAAGGGCTGCACACAGCGATTCGTGAGCAATGGGACTGAATTTGCATCTGATTCAGAAGTAATTTCACATGGTTTTGAAAGGGTTTGCTGTTTTCTATTTTTCTTTTTTTTTCTTCCTCTGTTCTCTTGCAGAGSATTTTATTAAATGAAGCATGGGACAAAAGTAAGAGAGAAAACTATGGTCTGAGAGTTATATTGGAACATTTTAACTGTTTAAAGGCACTAAGAGCACACTTTCATGATGAAACACTGGTTAGAGACCCCCTTTGTTACCTCCAAAAGCATTGGTGCTTTTGWGAGGCAGATGGCAACAGACAAAAAMCAGAAGTTTTAAGACTCAATATGTCATGTCAGTGGAGCTCTGCACTTT